TATATGAGGACCTAAGTTCTATTTTGCACGACAACCCCGGGAAGTCGATCAATTTTCTACCTTGTAATCAGTGTTTCTTAGCTCAGCATCTGGTTAGCTTTTCGATACTGTTTCTTGGATGATCGTTTGGCATGAGGCAAAAAAAAAAAAAAATTTGCGTGATCGAAAAGTAACTCCGTTGTTGAAAAATCATGAGTGATGAGAACAGATGAGGGAATGATTTTGGCTTGTTCATTCCACAAAGAGACAGTACGACTGCAACTAGATTTTGGTAATGGAGAAAGCCAAGAGTGCCGAAAAGGATTAACCTCTGTAGCATTCGTACAGGCGGATTGACTAGCAAGCAAAACGGTTCCTTTTTTATGGAGTCTGAATACCTATTTTTTTTTGTTCAAATTATTAGAAAGACTCATTATTCCCACGTGCTTTCAGGAGTGCCCGACACGCCCAGCCTCGTCAAACCATCCACACATCTCCGTGACTCCTCACGACTCTTCGGGAGTAGGATGCTCCATCACAGCAATCTCCGTCACCGCCACCAGAAGAGAGAAAAGGAATAAGAAGACAGGATGACGATCTCGATGACCGGATGAGGACGGGTGCTGACGACTCGGGCCGTTGTACTATCATAGGTAGAGAGCCAAGTCTGTTCTGTTGCTTAAACTCCACATAGCACGCTAAGTTAGGTTTGGTCAGTGGATTTAACGACATTTTAACCATGGCTGGGTCAAAGTTTCAGTCCCCGGCTTCGGATGGTCCTACGCCAGGAAGGCCGATTTGAAACAGCGGTTTCCTAGATCTCAGGGTCGATGTTGGCATGTGTCAGGGATGTTTTCAACTGATCCTTGAACTGTCGTTTTGGGCCTTGCCGCTGGAAGACTCGATTAAAATTGGAATTCAGCCCTCTGTTGTTTTGCGTATAGCTATACCTACTTATAGGGAAGACTTCGTTAGAAAAAACCCCGAAGAAGACATCGGTATGCTTAAGACACGCGTAAATTTCATTAGCTACGAGAATCTATTAATGGTAAACAAATTATAAACATTGTATTATTCTCTTGTGCCACAATGGCCCTTTAAGTAATACTTAATACTTCCGAATGGCGTAAAGGTTAGAAAAGCTGAAAAACTAGAACCAGTGACTCGAGTTCAGATTCAGTCTAGGACTATATCTATTAACTTAGTAATAATCTTCTTAAGAAAAAGACGAATCCGTCTCTTCTCCCCCTCCTGATATGGGTTAAACAACAACGCAGAATTAACTCTTTTAAATTTGTTTGACAGCCAATTTAGGAGAACTACACTGAATCCAAAGCCATGGAGAAGCCAAACAAAAACTATTCTGCTAGCTTTTCCTAGAGGTCATATAATAATTCGAAGAGTTCATAGTAATTCCAAAATAAAGGGAAACTGTGGAGGGCTATGATCGCCTACGCACTGTACAGAACGTTAGAGTAACGAGGGGATGTTAAGGAAAATAATAACTACAATTAAACTAATACATACAATCAGAGTGGACAGGTGAAACTTCCCGGGAACACAGTAAAGAAGAGGGTTTGGAGAATTAAACACTCACTTGGCATATTGAAGGCAAGAGACATGGCGGGATACCTCCTTGAGTTCTGAGTGAATGTATAACAGAAAAAAACACAAACAAGGAGGCTAAAGTGTTAGGAGTTAACAGACAGGAAGATGTGGAGTGTCGTGATCCCCCGCTTCCTGAAAGGACTTGGCATATAAAAGGAAATATATTCGTGTGTGTATGTATTATGATTTGTTCAGTTGAGAAAGGCAGTCTGTATAATTTTATGATTAACTAATCTTGTTTTTCGCATTCAAACTAAAAAGTAAATCAATTTGGCTCCGAGCAAAACGAAGTGACGAAAAAAAAAAAATCATGGTAATTGTCAATATTTGACAAAAAAATGCAGCCATTTTTAGGCTCGATGTCTGTTTTACAATTTTTCTTTTCTTCTCTTTTGTGTTTCTTCCGGAATTTATAGTTTTATCTTTCACGCATTTAGATTCTTTCTTTCTTTCTTTATTTCTTTCTTTGCCTATCATTTATTCTCCCTTTCTTTTTTCTTTCTTTCTTTGCACTTAATTCCTGCCCATTTTCTTTCTTTCTTTCTTTCTTTCTTTCTTTCTTTCTTTCTTTCTTTCTTTCTTTCTTTCTTTCTTTCTTTGCACTCCATTCTTTTATTCCTTCTCTTTCTTTCTTTCTTTGCACTTCATGTATTCACCCTTTTTCTCTTTCTTTTCTTTAATCAACTTTTTCTTTCTTTCTTTCTTTTCTTTTTTCTTTCTTTCTTTGGACTTAATTCCTGACCATTTTCTTACTCTTTCTTTCTTTCTTTCTTTCTTTCTTTCTTTCTTTCTTTCTTTCTTTCTATGAATTTCTTTTATTATCCCTTTTTTCTTTCTTTCTTTGCATTTAGTTCCTTCCCTTTCTTTCTTTCTTTCTTTCTTTCTTTCTTTACACTCTATTCTTTCTTTCTTTAATATATGCTTAATAGTTCTCTTATATTGCACCAAGCACTATTTTTTATTTGCACCATCACTCAATCAGGAACATAATATGTACACCGGGTGTAACAGCAAAATTATTCAATTTTTAAATTAAGTTCTGAACCGTTGTATCTTAGAAATGATTAAAGATATCTTACTGGAATTCTCCGAGGTTGTTATAACACTATTAAACTCTACTTTGGGCAATAAGAATTTATAATTACTCTCCAAGCTTAATTGAAGAATCATGATGAAATCGATCGTAAACGAAAATGACATGTTCATTATTAGTTAAACATAACTAAGGATAGGGGATCATGATGGATTGAAATAAAAGTTCAAATATATATATATATATATATATATATATATATATATATATATATATATATATATTATTCCAGGATCATTTTCCAATTCATTCAAGATGATCTTTGCCCTCTCTAATCTTTTAACTTTCTGTCCTGGAGTAACAAGGTGCTTCAAGGATTTTACATACGATTTCAGTTTCAAGTCTTTTTTTCACTGCTCTTTGGACTGTCATAGATAAATATCCTCTCTCCCGTGCCAAACATCTTATGAATTGAGTTGGATCTTTTCTAATTGGTCTCTTTTGAAATGATGATCTTTCTTCTTGTTGTGACCTCCTGATCCAGTTCACCTCTCTTCTTCCTTCCTTCCCTTCCTTCCTTTCCTTCCTTCCTTCCTTCCTTCCTTCCTTCTATCTATCTATCTATCTATCTATCTATCTATCTATCTATCTATCGAATTCTGTTCATTATCCATCTCAGTCTGTTAATATCTATCTATCTATCTATCTATCTATCTATCTATCTATCTATCTCAGTCTGTTTCTATCTATCCCAGTCTATTCATATCTATCTATCTATCTATCTATGGTCTAATGATGATTAATCGTGAAAAGTCACAGTAACGGTGTTGATATCTACGTGTCAACTACTCCCGATGATTAGGCGTCATCTTTCATAAATGCAGTAAATTTTAAACATATTTTTTTTCTTCTGAGTAGGACCGATCGGAAAGGTGTGTTTAATCTTCTGGTGAATCACTTTTGATGTCGAATAAAGCTTGTGACATCAGGTGGGAAAGTTGCATAGGAAATTCCCGAAATTTTGTCATGTGTTCCGAGGGCTTTCTATCATCGTTAGTCATTTTCAAGGAAAGAAGCTGGAAAGTCGATAGATATCCAATGCAGTGTGAAACAGATTTTAACGTCACGTGGCAAAAAAAAAAGTTCATATGCCTGTTAGCAGATGCACGTCTTAATTTAAACAAATTTTATTAATAATACACTTCCTTCTTTTGATGTAAAGATATTCCAAGATTTTGGAATCGTTTTCTTACATTTGAACAGTTGAAGTGATAGGAAAATTTTATATTATCGCCTAAAGTCTGACGGAAATTAGAAGAGGCGATGCAGAACTGCACAGGCATGACACTTTGCTCAAAGAGATAATACATACATACATACATATATATATATATATATATATATATATATATATATATATATATCGAGAGAGAGAGAGATTGATAGATAGATAGACAGATAGATATGAAGGCTAATATCTAGAGATAGATGTCAATGGAATTAGAAAAGATAGATGTCAACGGACTGAGAATAGATATGAAGACACTGAGATAGATAGATAGATAGATGTGAAGATTGATGTATAGTGATAGATGTCAACTGAATGAAAATAGATAAATAGATAGATACATGGATGTCAACGGATTGAGATAATATGCATATATATATATATATATATATATATATATATATATATCTGTAAAAAATAACTTCGCGTTTGATTATCTTCCTACCACTCCCCTCAGCATCCTTTGAAAAATTATTTGTCTATAATCACGATACATTTGTTGCTTGCATGTATTCTGCAAATGTCAATGATGTCCTGTCTAAGTTCAGGTTTATCTTGGCATGAAAAAAAAAATAACTTCTCCACCTCCACCCTCTGAGCTTAATTTTCTATTTAAAGTAGATCTGACACTTGATTGGTTAATCAAGACCAACCCACATGTCTATTTTAAATTCTGACCTTTTGTTTTCTCACCCCCTTCCTTCATCTTTCGGAAAAGAGGTAACACTTTGCTTTTGAAATTTTCTTAGAAATCATTTAATCACAAGTTACTGAAGACGTACAACACAGTGTCGAAACATGAAAGCTCTAATATAGCGATTTCAACATGTTTTTGATCTAACATATCTCTCCCTCTCTCTCTGTCTCTATCTATCTATGTATATATGTGTGTGTGTGTGGGGGGAGTGTGTGTGCAGGAAGGAGGTGTTTGTGCCATATAAATACATATTTCATTATTAAGCTGTTGACGTACAGATTTTAAAGAGGGTGCATTTTTGCGGGAAATGCTTTCTATACATGCAGATAAATAAGACAATGAACTGATATTGTGTGGTGGATTGAAAAATTATCTTCCGTACTGTCTTTAATTCCATGTTCATATCTATCTATCTATCTATCTATCTATCTATCTATCTATCTATCCCATTCTGTTTCAATCTATCTATCTATCCTTTACTCTGTTCATATCTATCTATCTATCTATCTATCTATCTATCTATCTATCTATCTGATTCTGTTTCAATCTATCTATCTATCCTTTACTCTGTTCATATCTATCTATCTATCTATCTATCTATCTATCTATCTATCTTATTCTGTTGTATTTCTGTCTATATATATAATATATATCTTATTATGCTATCTATCTATTTATCTATCTATCTAACCTATTCTGTTATATATTGTTGAAACTTGAATAAAGCATGGAATAATAATAATACAACACAAAATGTACTTAAACAAAATGTATTGAAACAAGGAAAAGGTACACAATATTTACAGTTAGTTTTGGTATATTCTTGGGAAGACCGTTCCTGTAGAATGGGTTGACTTAGTCGCAGTCGGGCAGAGTCTCTGGATTGGATCTCTTCTTCCTCCCCCTCGTCTTCCCGGTACCAACCCATATTTATATGGTCGGTACTCCACTATGTAAATTAGGTGGATCGTACCACAACACACACACACACACACACACACACACACACACACACACACACACACACACACACACACACACACACATATATATATATATATCATTCTGCTATCTATCTATCTATCTTTGTACTGAAAATAATGCTTGCTAGAATCTACATGAAATAGAAAATGGATAATCTTTCTTTATAGATGCTGTGCCTTTTCATGCACCTCGCTAATTACTCTGTGAATTACATTAACCATCACCAAACATTGCTCACAGTCATTTCTGCACATATTCTACAAGATTTGATGAATAACATCAGTGTCGATTTTAACCGCATGCATCAGTTTAATGATATACATGTACTTCATACAAACATTCAGTTTCTTCATTATTATCTATCTATCTATCTATCTATCTATCTATCTATCTATCTAAATTTGTTTATATCTGTGGTTCTATTGACGTTATTATAGTGGATACTTCGTATTTGAAATAGAAGCCCGATTTTTATTTATTAAACGGTGTTTATCAAGTATATCAAACTGTGCATTCGATAAATATTAACAAAGAAAAGTGCGTTCCCCGGTAGGGATCGAACCTCTGTAAATTCATTAATTCTTTATAAATCAATCAATCAGTCTATCCTATTGTGTTTGTTGTGTGTGTGTGTTTGTTTCTTTCTTTCTAGCTATCTATCCTATTGTCTTTCTTTCTTTCTTTCTTTCTTTCTTTCTTTCCCATTCTGCTTCTATCTATCTATCCTATTGTGTTTGTTCTGTTTGTTTGTTTGTTTCTTTCTTTCTAGCTATCCTATTGTGTTTCTATCTATCTATCTATCTATCTATCTATCTATCTATCTATCTCATTCTGCTTATCTATCTATCTATCTATCTCATTCTGCTTCTCAGCTTAATATTATCTATCTATCTATCTATCTATCTATCTCATTGTGCTTATTTGTTTCTTTATTTCTATCTAGCTATCTATCCTGTTGTGTTCATTTCTATCTATCTATCTATCTATCTATCTATCTATCTATCTATCTATCTTTTGTACTAATGCAATGCATATCAAGACAGTTAATATACATGTTAAATTAACCGATGATATGCGCCTGCCTGCTGGTCATATTCTGAGTTTTATAATCTCAATTTATCTTTTTACGACAGAAAAGTATGCCTGTCAGACAGAAGACTGTGGAAACTAGTTTTTAGTTATAAAGCCACAAATGAAAGTGGGATAGAACGTTTCTCAGATGCGACATCAAAGAATTAAGAATGTTCGACACAATAAAAGAATGAAGGTCTGGAAGAAGGAATACGAATGAAATAACGAAAGTGAAATGAATGAAAAAATAAAAAATCGTACATCGGAATATAAAATGAAAAATATCGTAAATAAAAGAAAAACATTCAAAGAAATGGAAAAAAAATGAAGCGAAGAAAGAGAATGAGAAAGAAAAAAGAAACGAAAGAAATAATGAACAGAAAGAGGAGAGAAACTATTAAGAAAAAAGTTATGTCGAATGAGACGTCGAAATGGACAAGACGTGATGAAAGGAAGGGAAATAAAAAGTAAAAGAAAGAGAGAAAGAAGAAGGAAAGAAAAACAAAGAATTAAAGGAGTACAAGTGAGAAAAATAAAAATAAAATGATTTGGAAATAAAAACAAGAGAAGAGAGAAAAAGAAATAAAGTAGAGGAAGTAAAAGAAAGAGAAAAGTGAAAAATGGGGAATGAAAAATTAAAATTGCACAAGATAGCTGATAAAAGAAAGAAAAAATGAAAAAATAAAAAAAAGTATTGAAAATGGATAGAAAAGAATACAGAAAAATCTATAAAAGAAAAAAGACAGAAAGAAAACGGAAGAGAAAAAGGGATAAAAATAGAAATGAAGAAGAAAGAAAAGAGTTAATGGAAGAGCTAAAAGAAGGAAAAAAAACGACAAAATAAATAAAGAAAGAAAGAAATAAAGAAAAAATGTGGTTATCCTGTTCACAGCGCCATGTCGAACAAACGTGGTCAAGATAAAAATGAAGAACTAATTCAATAGAGACAGAGCTATTTATGGTGCAAAGCATCTCATTATGCTAAAGTGGGAAGTCCATTGCTTGGGCTATGATTGGCTGCTGGTACCTGAGTGGAAGTATTATTATATAAAACTAGCATGAAGGATATGTAAAGTTACAACCTGCTTTATTTTGTCTGCCAAGTTGGAACTCTTAAAAAAAAAGTGCTTTATTATTATTGTTATTCTACATGAATGAATGAATGAAAGTGTTGTGGATTCCGGAATGAAATCCGGTACCAATAAATAACAAACGCCAAGAATGAATATAGGAAAATAATGTATTAACGTAATAATACAAACTGGTAAAGCAGGTTAGTAGTTCCAGGAATACGGGTTAGTAAAAAATATATATACAGTCTTTGGTATTGAAGTATCGCTGTATGACTTCTTACTGAGTCTACGTGCTCGCTCACTGTGACTCCTACAACGCTGTTACCTCACCCCTCACTCTTCCGGTTACCTACAACCTTTTACTCTTCGGTCTTGCTCTCGAGTATTCACTGGCAGTAGTATAAGTATATACTGGGTGAGTCCATTTGTGTAAAAAGGGGTGGACCCCTCAACAAAAAGAAAGAAAAATGTTGAGCAAAACTGAAAAAGAGAAAATAAAAAATAAGAATTGATGGATGACGAACAGAAAGAACAAATTAAATGAGAGAATAAAAGAAGGAGAAATAAAACAATTTAAAGAAATGAAGATAGTCAGAAAAGAAGACAGAAGAAGAAAAGTGTAAAAGAAAGAAAAAGTCAGAATTGAAGAAGAAAGGAAAGAATTAAAGGGGAGAATAAAAGAAAGACAGATGAATAAATAAATAGAATGGAAGACAGAAAAGAAAGAAAAAAAGAAAGAAAGAAAATAAGAAAGAAAAATCGAATGAGTAAACTAAAAAAGTTGAATGAAAAACAGTTAAAGAAGAAAGAAGGGAAAAAAGAAAGGAAAATTAAAAAATAACGAGAAAGAAAAAAGTCAGAAGCAAGAACTAAAAGCAAAATACTAATGACAAAATGTTATGGGGTCCATCCCTTTTTTTACAAGTGGACTCGACCAGAGTGTTACTTGGACTGCTGCCGTTAAATATCCAGAGTCAGTCAGAATATAGAGAGAGTGAGAAGAGATTGAGATTGTGATTGAGTTGGAGGTAGAGTAATAGTGTGAGGTAACCGCTTGTAGAAGTCACAGTTACAAGCACGTAGACTCTAAGGAAGTCCTACTTCGAGACTATTTATATATATATATATATATATATATATATATATATATATATATATAAAGTGAACATAGAAGTCAACACTTAGAGTCTCTAAGTGTTGACTTCTATGTTCACTTTTATATTTACACACGCTCTATCTCTGATATTGACCACTTTATCCCATAAATATAGAACACCTTAAGACTATATTTCTTTATATATATATATATATATATATATATATATATATATATATATATATATTATTATTGCTACTAACCGCGTTCCTGGATTTATTAACAGTATTATCCATTGTATTATTGTGTAAATACATTTAAATTCTTATATTTAATTCTTGCGTTTGTCATTCATTGGAGACTGAATTTCATCTCGGAATTCACAACACAAAATGAAAAAAGAAAAAACGTGATTGAAACGAAGAAAAACGAGAAGATTAAAAAAATAAAATGAAGCGAAAAAAAATCAAATTCAGAAAGAAGGGCAAATAGATGAATTAATAAATAAACAGAATTCTACGTTTGTGTATATATCCGAGATGATGGATTGTAATTATTTACTTTTTTCGGATTGTTTTCCACATCTTTATTATCCTGTTCACGGCGTTCTGATCGTTGCATTTTCGAACTGAACCCCTGTATTTCGAGCACCGCAGTAGATTGTTCTAGTTCCACGTGTCATGTCTCTTCCGGATGTCTCAGTTATCTGCTTTTAACTTAACTCTCCAAGTTTTTGGTTCACCACTGCCTCAGCCAGGTGTTGAACTCACAACGATTTTGGTTAAGTCACTGGATTTAACGAATGCTTTTATCCACCGGGCCATGTGTCCCCAAGGACGAAATAAAGGGTTCTTTACGAAATTCCAATCACCTGAAGAAAGTCGGAGAGTACAACAGCCGAAACGCCGTGAACATGACAATAAATATCCGAATGGTCCGTAACAGAAATAATAAATACAATTTTAGACGATTGAAAAATTAACAAATTCTGAAAAACGTACAAAGAAAGACAATTCTGAAAGTTTTAAAAATGATGAAGTAAATCTAATTATCATTTTTTAAAACAATAAACATTGCCAAGGAGCGAAGGTAGTTAAAATAATAGCGGAGTCAAGGGAAAAAAACAAACGTTCTTTTGAGATTTCTATTTTTTGTGGGTACCAAGGTTCGTTTGCCCAAATTAAATTGGTAATTTACATTATGGGATTATTGTCCTCATCTTTGTTGCCATCATTATCACTATTATGTACATTATTTACATTATTCAGACTATTGTCCTCATCTTTGTCCATATCTATAAAAAGAATACCCGCTCGGCCCGGTGGCTAGGATCAAAGTGTAGTATCTGCGCTTTGTGAGCTGCCGGGTCGGGTGTCTGTCGAACTCTCTGCTTGCAGAGAGGAACCCGGACGAAACTCCGCCGAAGGGTAGGGTTTCGTTGGGGGAGGTTGACGGAACTGGCCCGCCTCGGCGGGTTTGGATGGTTATTTATTTTTGGCTGGGCCTACGGGCTCAGAGATACCCACATTAAAAAGGCCTTGTGCCACATTCGATCCCCGTGGGTGGATTGATAAATACCATCTTTGTCCATATTTATCACTATTATGTACACTACATTATTCAGACTATTGTCCTCATCTTTGTTGCCCTATTTATCACCATTATATACAATATTTACACTATTCAGACTATTGTCCTCATCTTTGTTGGCATATTTATCACCATTATATACAATATTTACATTATTCAGACTATTGTCCTCATCTTTGTTGCCATCATTATCACTAATAATTTAAATAATTTAAACATATTCTTTTTGAAGAAGGCCGGAGCGTACAACGGTCGAAACGTTGTGATAATTATGCCAACAAAGATGAGGACAATAGTCCGAATAATGTAAATAGTGTACATAATACCTCATCTCAGAAATATAGGCAGATACTGAAAGGCCGAAACGTTGTGATAAATATGGCGACAAAGATGAGGACAATAGTCCGAATAATGTAAATAGTGTACATAACACCTCATCTCAGAAATATAGACAGATACTAAAGGGCCGAAACGTTGTAATAAATATGGCAACAAAGATGGGGACAGTAGTCCGAATAATGTAAATAGTGTACATAATACCTCATCTCAGAAATATAGACAGATACTGAAAGGCCGAAACGTTGTAATAAATATGGCGACAAAGATGAGGACAATAGTCCGAATAATGTAAATAGTGTACATAATACCTCATCTCAGAAATATAGGCAGATACTGAAAGGCCGAAACGTTGTGATAAATATGGCGACAAAGATGAGGACAATAGTCCGAATAATGTAAATAGTGTACATAATACCTCATCTCAGAAATATAGACAGATACTGAAGGGCCGAAACGTTGTAATAAATATGGCAACAAAGATGGGGACAATAGTCCGAATAATGTAAATAGTGTACATAATACCTCATCTCAGAAATATAGACAGATACTGAAGTACCGAAACGTTGTAATAAATATGGCGACAAAGATGAGGACAATAGTCCGAATAATGTAAATAGTGTACATAATACCTCATCTCAGAAATATAGACAGATATTAAATTGGTAAATCATTTTAGACTTAGGTGCATTGGCATTTCCAGCCATTTTATTGCAGTTTGTTTTTCATAAAGGCGCAGCAATTAAACGTCTAGTGTCAGAAACGAAGCACCTTTTGCCAGAAAGTATGAACTGTAAACATTAAAATGATTAATGAGGCGAAAGAAAACCTCATCCGGTATCGATCACCGTGCGTTT